TTCTGATGGATTTGTTTTTGCCTTGTACAGATTGTTTCAAATGGCTCCGGGATTAGCTCGGAATCCAAAAGCAAGACTCATACCAAATAATTCTCGGCAGAGTCTCATGGAACTTATGACAAAGGCAGGAGACTTAGCAAGGAGTAAAACCCGATAATCTGAGAAAACCGATGTGGCATCAGACAAAGTTAACAAGGGATTGCCCATAACTGATGGTTCGTCTATAGGAAGTGAAAATGCGAATCCGACGTTCGAGGGAAACATGGCAACTATTCAGCCTCAGCCTCCTCAAACTCAGGAAAAGGAGAGTACTCTTATGCTAGAGTTCGGACTCCTGAAACTCGACAAAAGGATCTGCAAAATCAATGTCAGCAACCTGGAATCACTCCTGATCCTTCATCACATCAGGGAGATCAACATACTCAATCACCTCAGGCAGATGTCATTGGTACGTGTCTATACTCCGAAATCGTTGTAATTTTACAGATACAAAAACATGCTAAACCATGCTGTAGGGAAATATATATCATTGGTATTTATTTTGATTTCTTGATTCTCTTGTCTTTTCTCCGACTATTTATCTATTGTATGAATTGACTCGATTGATGTATCGTACAAGATGTATGTGAAGCAAATTCATGTTTAGAACCTTAGGTGCATCTCCTAATGGGAATTTATCATTTTAGTTGTGATAAAGTACAGTTCTTTCTTACATTTATTGTTGGCGTGAATTATGTATATGGAACAGAAACACTCTTTCTCATACCTTGGTTTTTGTAAGGGTTATGCTGAGAAAATATGTTGTTATATTAATTATTTTGGGGACGATAAGCTGAGAAAATATGTTGAGTATCAAGTTTTATGCTCAGTCGTATTGCCTCCTTTATGTGTTATTATGTGCTTAGCTTTAGTCTTGAAGTTATTGGAATATCATGTTTAAGTCTTGAAGAAAAAGAACATGATAAACAGATAAAGTGTTAATTATACAGCAAACTGAACATGAAAGATAGACTAATAATAAAGAATATACTCTCGACTAATTTGCTTTCCTTTCTCGATGAAACCTTTCTGGATTTTTCTTGTTATACGTACGAAAATCCACCTCCTAAGTACTGCTTAGCCTACATAAAGATTTCGACAATTTCGATTATGTTCATACAAACATACTTGAAAACGGTGATTGCATATTATCGTATCCTATCATCTTTTTAAATTCTCAAAATCTCATTGTGTGTACTAGCTCAACATTTGTCAAGACCTCCTGATTTCAGCTCTTTCCTGTTATATATTCCATTATTAGATTAGATGTTTAGCAGCAAAGAAGAAAGAATTCATGCACAATTATTCATAATTTTCTCAGTTCTAGTTCTAGTTCTTTTACTGAACATAATTGTTATTTTCAATTTCACCTGGTATTAAAGTTGTGTGAAGATTTTACCCATATCGTTTGATATAAATCGAGAAATATTTATTTTGAAATAAACTGGACATGAACTGATATAATAAACAACTACGAGTTGATTGTTTGAGGTATGAGTACCTGTGTTTCTCGACTTCTGAATTTTTTTCCTATTATGCATACTTGATATAAGTTATATGAATTGTTTTGTTCACGATAGTAAATTATATATCTCTCTTTTACTGGAGGCTGCCAATGGGAGTATCTCTCTTTGTTTCTTTATCATGGCATTGCGCATACTGTTTATAAAACAACAATTTTTTTTTTTGCTTATTTCAGTTTCTAATTTGGTGTGTCAAATTATAGTCTGAAAGATTATTTTTTTAATATTCATTGGATTTACCTGGTGGTTTCTGTTTACTAGGTATGAACTGAGGGTGAGGGTTACAAGTTACCTGGTGGATTTACTTACTTGGTGTTTTAGTAGGAAGATTTTGACTAATTAAAATAACCATTATACTTATTGAGTGTACTTATTGAGTGGTGAATATGCAGCTTCTAATACCACCATTAAGAAAAGACGTGGACAAACCATGGGCAAAGGTATAATGAAGGTATAATGAAGGCATTCCAGGCTTGCGGGAAAAAAATGAAGGTAACTGTGGATCCATCGATCGGAAGACCTAAAAGTAGAGACGAGTCTTCAAAGTTTTCTAGTCAGATTGGTGTAGTCACCAGAGATGTACTTCTGGTGCCAGTAAGGTGGAAAGATGTTGATGAAGAAAAAGATCTTCAACCTGGTATTGATCATATAAAGGTAAAAATTAGAAACACTTTTCAAGTCGCATGAATACATTATTTATATCACCTTAAATAATCTCATTTTTATTTGTGTAGATCCACATAGATATTAATTTGGATGATCCGGGTGTAAAACGTTGCGTGATTGATCGAGTCCAAGCTAGTTCACGCCAAAAACGTTACAGACTGCATAAACATTACAAGAAATATTTGTCCCATGAAGATGCTAAGAATAACAAGCCCTCTTTTTGTGCTAGCCAAGAAAACTGGGAAGAAATGTGTGAGCTTTTTGCCTCGCCTAAATTCAAGGTAATGCATTATTAACATTTTTCTTCTATTTTGCATATTAAATTTGTAGTTTTCATATTTTTAGTTTTCTCCAACCACATTACTTATGATTTGACAGCGCGAAAGTTTGATTAATGTGACGAATCGACAAATGTTGCGTGCTCCACATGTTTCAGGCCGAGCACCTTTTAGTGTTCTTCGACATGAAATAGTAAGATTATGTTGAATATATTAATTTATTTATGATCAATAGTTTTTTTTTTCTTTTTGAATTTAAACTCTTTATGCTTATCTTATGTTTACGGTTAAAAATTCTTATAGTCTGAGAAGGAGATGAATTGAGGACCACTAGATATGATTGAGCTTTATAAGCGTACGCATTATAAGGAAAAAGGTGGTTGGTCAACAAAAGAGGCAGAAGAAAACTGGGTAAGTTGCATGCACAATCTCTTATTCTAATTGTTGAAATGAATAATAATATGATTATATAGTTTTTATTGGTATTTGTCAGGACTTGATGATATCAAGGAGAGAAAAATATTCTGAACAAGGCGTTGAGAAGAGTGCACAAGATATACTTCTTGAGGTTCTTGGCCATGGAGCTGGATATATAAAAGGTTGTGGGTATGGCCCGAGGCCGCCAAGTAGACGCAAGGCATATGACTCGAATGGTCAGAAGGAGCTTCTAGAGACACAAGAAAAGCTGCGTGAGAAAGAATCGGAAGTGATTGAGCTTAAGGACCAAGTTAGTGATTTGAATGCAAAAGTAGACAAACTTATGGCTTTTATGGCTGCCAATGGGAACATAATCTGAGATTGTTAGCTTTGTTATTATTATTATTATTATTATTATTTTTGGAACATTTTGAGATTGTTAGTTCGTTTATTGAAGTTTTTAATTAGCAAAATTATTATTATTGTTGTTTTTTAATTTATCATCAGCAACATATTATCATCATATGTTATTTATAAATTGTCACTGTATTTTATTTTTCATGACAATTGTTTGGAGCGACGATAGTTTTTTGTCACTGTATTATATATTTCATGACAAATAAATTTATCACTAAATATTTGCAATTAATGACAATTATTATATTTGTAATAGTGACAATTTTAAATTGTCAATTAAAATATTTTTTTTTGACAACATAATCGTGGTGTATTTATTTGGATTTGTCACTATATGAAACGTTAAAATGACAATAAATTTTGTCGCTAAATATATACTTGTTCATGACAACTTATGTTGTCATTATATCTCAATCTTTTGATGACAATCATTTTTTTCGTAATCATAGAGATAATAATTTACGACAAAAGAATTCGTCGTTGTTGTATATTTTTGAAGACGATGAATATTTCGTCACTACTTATATTTTTTGTGACACTTTTTGTATCGTCATATTTAAAATTTATTTTTGTGACGACCAATATTTTGTAATTATAAAACAACTCTTTCATGACGAATTCTATGAAATATGACGATTATTTTAACGAAAATGCCACAAATATATTCGTCACTGAATTTTTATAAATTCGGTAAAAAAAATAAAATTTGTCACTAAACAATAATACTTCGATGACAAATTTAAGTTTTTGTCATCTAAAACTTGTTTTTTTATGACGAAATAATCATTTACGTGACAAAAGTTTCAGAATAAACGTGACGAAATGATTGTCACGAAAAGTGACGAAATATCATGACGAAACTTATAAACGTCATCAAAAGTTAAACATTTGGTCACAAATTCGAAATTTGTCACCTATACCTAATATGACGCGGCTACAGTGACGATCGTTATGACGATAAAATTTCGTCATTATTGTACTTTTGTGACGAAAAACAAGGCTTACATGACGAATTTTTTCTTCATCTTTTGCGAAATTTCTTGTAGTGACTGGATTCATATGAGAATGCATAGAGAAAGAGTAGGGAGAGAGTGTAGAGAGAGAGAGAGAGAGAGTAGTAATGGAATGAGGAGAGTCTGAAGGAAATGAGTACCTTCTCCCCCTTTTTATAGGGGGAGTGTACCTTATAGTCCATATTGGGGCTCGACCCATATTATCATATCACGTGTCTTAGCCCATGTATAGGCGTATTCTTCAATATATATCCATAAAAACCTGTCGGATACGACATTCTATATCAAATACTACCGGTCGAGCCGGCAGTACTAGCCGTGGCTATATCATCTAGTCCCCCCCATTCTGGTCGAGTGAGCATAACTCGATCCAAGAGTGAAAAATAGAGCAACTCGCCACTGGAGTCAACACTGAACACCGAATGGTCGTAGAGGTCGAAAGTTAAGTGACCCGCCACTAGGGTCAAGCATCGGAATTCGGATGACCATTGAGATTGAAATCCAAGTTACCCGCCTCTGGAGTCGAAACCCAAAAGATCTGCATCCGAGATCGAGAATCGAAACTGGGGTCGAATGCCAAAAGATATGTCTCTGAGATTGAGCACTGAAAATTGTATTTGAGATTGGGTACTGAATAACTCGATGCTACCTCCAGGTCGAGAACTAAATTGAGGTCGAAAATCCTAATCCAAGAACCGAATGACAATTGAGGTTGAAAACCAAGAACTGATAGACCACTGAGGTCGAAAACCGAGAATTGAGAGACCACTGAGGTCGAAAACTGAAAATCAAGTAATCGTCGATGAGGTTGAAAGCCGAGAACTGAGAGTCGAGAGACCGTTGAGGTCAAAAACCAAAAACCGAGTAATCGAGAGACCGCTGAGGTCGAAAGCTCCGAATCGAGAATCGAGAGACTGTTGAGGTTGAAAGCCCCGAATCGAGAATCGAGAAACCACTGAGGTCGAAAGCCTCGAATCGAGAATCGAGAGACCGTTGAGGTATCGAGAGACCGTTGAGGTCGAAAGCCACGAATCAAGAATCGAGAGATCGTTGAGGTCGAAAGTCGAGAACCAAGAGTCGAGAGACCGTTGAGGTCAAAAACTGACTGATCTGCTGTTGAGGTCAAACATCGAATGACCCTGAGGTCGGAGGCCGCAAATTGAATGACCACTGAGGTTGAAGTCGAGTGATCCACCGTTAAAGACGAAAACCGAGACTGAAGTCGAAAACCATATGCCCGATTTCCCAAAGTCTTGAATTTGAAAATTTGAACTTACACATTCTGCTTTGTCAATTAATAATAAACCTTTCCGGTTACCTCATCCTGTCGCCCCCTAGATCAAGATTTGAAATTCAAGCCTGTTGTGTATCCTCTCGAAGACTCCTCTCTCACGTTGAAAAATCGCATTTGACAAAACGAAGTCAAATAAAAATGTCAACTTGCTCGAGCAATAATAAATACACTCAACCTGCCACCGAGGTCGAAAAAAAAATTCGATAATACATCACCAAGTGAAAAGCAATCATTCTGCTCGAGCAATGAGGAGTATCCTCGACCTGCCACTGAGGTTGAAAAATAAATTCGACAAACCAGAATCAACAACAACCTGCTAGAGCAGTAATGAATAATCAAGTGAACATACTCGGGCAATAATGAACATACACGACCTTCCACCGAGGTCGAAATAGAATTTCGACAAAATTAAATTCAAATACAAATCATCAACCTCCTTAGGCAATAATGAATATACTCGACCTTCCACCGAGGTCAAAATACAATTTTGACGAAATCAAGTTCAAATTCAAATCATCAACCTACTTAAGCAATAATGAATATACTCGACCTTCCACCGAGGTCGAAATACAATTTCGACAAAATCAAGTTCAAATTCAAATCATCGACCTGCTCAAGCAATAATGAATATACTCGACCTTCCACCGAGGTCGAAGAACAATCTCAACAAAATTAAGCAAGAATCAACATCAACTTGCTCGAGCAGTAATGAATATACTCGACCTTCCACCGAGGTCGAAGAACAATCTCAACAAAATCAAGCAAGAATCAACATCAACCTACTCGAGCAGTAATGAATATACTCGACCCACTTCCGAGGTTTGAATAGAAATACATCGATCACAACAAAATATGATAACAATTGATTATCTAGGTTCGAACGCTTGTCCACCCTCGGAGGGGTGGTCGACACATACGACCATCTTCGCTCGATGGGCTTTAATCATGGCGGACCACCCAGCCCGGAGGCCTTAGTCGTGGTGGATTTGTCTTCTTCAACCACCCAGCCCGGAGGCCTTAATCGTGGTGGACCACCCAGCCCGGAGGCCTTAATCATGGTGGACCACCCAGCCTGGAGGCCTTAGTCATGGTGGATTTTTCTTCTACGACCACCCAGCCTAGAGGCCTTAATCATGGTGGACCACCCAGCCCAGAGGCCTTAGTCATGGTGGGTTTGTCTTCTTCGATCAGCTCGAGCACCTCAACCTGCCGCAAGTCGAAGTCGAAAAGGAATTTCAACAAAATTAAACAAAAGTTTTTCAACTCGTCTTCTCCCCAACCCGTTGTGCGAGCTGGTCGAAGTCGAGCAACAATTTTAGCAGCTTCATAGCTGATAAACAAAAGTTTTTCAACTCGTCTTCTCCCCAAATAGAGAAAGTGGGAGCTTGCTAGATGATTGTTTGTCCCATTTTTGTTGCGTTTTTTGTTGTCATTTTGCCTTTCTTTTACTCTCATATTAGGTCTTTTAGTTGGTTTTTAGTTCATTTTGTAATTTATTTCATGGTTTGATCTATTTTGGTCTTTCTTTCGTTTCTCGTGTGTTTTCCCAGTTTCCTTTCATTTTTGGTGTGCAGGTCAGAAGCGCCATGAGGAATAGATTTTACCCAAAAATTAACTGGGCATTCTTAGTTGTGTAGACGGGTTCGTTGGCGACATGTAGAAAAAAGCGGAACTCAATTCCGAGGTCGGATGAGCTCAAACGAGCCTAAAAGGCGAAGTCGCATGAAGCACATTTTTGGTGTGCATGTTATGAGCTTTGGGAGATTAGGATTTCAGGAATATATTTGATGGCAAAGCATAATTGACTAGAAGGGTTCGTTGGCGACGCATAGGAAAAAACGGCACTCAATTCTGAGTTCGGACGAGTTCAAACGAAGCCAAAACGCAAAGCCGCGCATTCCAGTCCTTAGCGGCGCTAAGGCCCTTAACGACCCCCAGAGGCCACTGCCCAAGCGACCTTAGCGGCGCTAACCCCTGCGCGACCATATTTTTATAAATCTCGTTTTTGCTCTATTTTTCAAGTACCTTACATGGGGACTCGTTCCAATACCTA